TAGTTTAATAAAATAACTGAGATGTAAAAATACACTGCAGCTAGTTAAAGCTAGTAAATAACTGTAGATAAAATACTGAAAATAGAAAATCAAGTATCAAGAACTCTTGTCATCCACATCCACATACACACAGCAATTGCACCGATCATAGAAAAAGACCAAGTACATTAAAATCCAGTATAAGATTGTGTTGTCATGCTAGATGAGATGGAGCAGAATAGGACCTTGTTTATGATTTCATATCACCCTGTCTTAATGCATTTCATAGTCAAAATAAAATTTTAAGAACTTTTTTTAAGCGCAATGTACAAGTCAACGTTATAATAACCTCAGCTTGTTGACAATATTCTGTATAATGATTATTAACTGTATACTAACCTCAGCATGTTGACAATTTTCTGTATAATGATTATTATCTGTATACTAACCTCAGCATGTTGACAATATTCTGTATAATGATTATTAACTGTATACTAACCTCAGCATGTTGACAGTATTCTGTATAATGATTATTATCTGTATACTAACCTCAGCATGTTGACAATATTCTGTATAATGATTATTAACTGTATACTAACCTCAGCATGTTGACAGTATTCTGTATAATGATTATTAACTGTATACTAACCTCAGCATGTTGACAATATTCTGCATAATGATCATTAACTGTATACTAACCTCAGCATGTTGACAATATTCTGTATAATGATTATTAACTGTATACTAACCTCAGCATGTTGACAATTTTCTGTATAATGATTATTATCTGTATACTAACCTCAGCATGTTGACAATATTCTGTATAATGAAAATTATCTGTATACTAACCTCAGCATGTTGACAATATTCTTATAATTATTATTATCTGTATACTAACCTCAGCATGTTGACAATATTCTGTATAATGATTATTATCTGTATACTAACCTCAGCATGTTGACAATATTCGGTATAATGATTATTATCTGTATACTAACCTCAGCATGTTGACAATATTCTGTATAATGATTATTAACTGTATACTAACCTCAGCATGTTGACAGTATTCTGTATAATGATTATTATCTGTATACTAACCTCAGCATGTGACA